ATATATATTTATATATTTATACCAAAAAACATTCGTTCACAACGAATTAGAAAACATAAAAATTTAGCTAGAAGACGCATAATACAGTACATTGGACTACACCTAACATTCGACTTATCCTTTTTCTTATCCCTTATACGCTACTCTTCTCATTCATTTGCTATTTTTCATTCGCTCTTTTTCTCCCTCTCTCTCTCTCTTTCTCTCTCACTCGCACTATCACTCTCTTTCGCTCTCTACTTTTCATTCGGTTCCTCTTTCGTTTTATAAATCGCATCAATATATTGCTTCGTCATCAGGTAGATGTTGTCTAAGTCTAACAACAATGTGGACTCGCTGATAGCGGGGCAGGGGGCCAACGAGACGATCGGCTATTAATTATTATTGCTGCAAAACAAGGAAAGGGCGAGCGGTAATCATTACCGGTAATCATTTGCGCGTAATTCGCAATTAAATCCACGCGACTATCGATCTTCGTCGTCGTGGTCGTCTAGATCGCTTCTCTTCATTTTTTTCATCCCTGCCGTATCGCTGCGCAAGTCTCTCGATTCGCGCTTACTTCGCCGAGCTTTTACTTTTTTTTTTTTTTCAACGACGTTGATTATAAGGATGCGTATATCAGCTGATTATAGATCTTTAAACTGGCGATATTTAAACTGGCGATGTATAATCGATCGCTCGGCAATAAATCAACGCTGATGGAACGAACATTGCAAATTAAACGTGAAGGAAAATTCGTAATTTTAAAATCAAATTTTTATATAATTTCCAAAATCTTAATTGATATACTTTTCGTTATACAGATCATCCGAGAAAATTCGAAGACTCTAACTTACCATCTCCCGAAACAATCAAGTCGCGCGCGAGATCAGAATTTTCTGCTCTCTCATCCGAAGGAATTCGCGGGACATCCTTATCTCGTCTCGATTCTTCGATTATTTATTTATTTATCCTTTTTTGCACTCGAGTCGTCCAAGCGCGGCGAGCGCGATACCATCATCGCTATTGGCGAAGCACTCGCGAATCGAACGATTCTTTTCGTCGAGTCCACAACAATTTGCTAAATTACAGAATGCCCAAGGTTACGAGTACGCGACGAGAAGCTGGCGTGGGAGAGGAAACGGGAGAGGGGCTGGGAGGGAGGGGGAGGAAAGGATTACAGAAGGGAGATGGTGGGTGTAATGGTACAGATCGGGAGGATGGGCGATTCGCCACGATCAGGATATTTCATGGAATCTCGCGGGCGCGTACATGCCCACGTGTCCGTACTCTGATATTAACTAAATTGGCCAATAAAAGCGCGAGAAAAAATGCCCGTGCAAACAGTATATAAAACGGAAGGAATTCACGGATTCCGAACGTAAAACGGCTGAAAACGTTCCGCCCGTCGGAATTAATGAAGCTCGATCACGAATATGCGAAACAAATATAACGTGCATTAACCCATTCGGTACCCATGTATCATACGCCATATCTCAAACTTCGCATAAATGTGGTATATCGTATAAGGCAAGGCTAAATTGCTTCAACACAATACATGATTTCGTATTGCAAGGAAAAATAGCTTTTCGAAGCTTGAGATTTTCGATTACTTGAGAAAGTAATTCATGAATATTAACAGATAGAAGGACTCTTCATATACAAAAATAAATAACAATAAATAAAGGGCAAAGTAAGAGTCAAATACATTTTTTTAAATAGTCATACGATTAAAAGGAATAAATTGCAAATGAAGAAAGGTAAAATTGAGAAGAATATATAATAAAAAAAACTCAGTTTAAATTCAAATATAAAACGTTACAAGTTGTCGGCTATCAGATTGAGCAGCCCTCTTCAGACATTAACTTATCGCAAAAATCGCTGTACAAAATTAATTACCGAAAATACCTTGAGTTTTTTTTATTATATATTTTTTCCAATTTTACTTTTCTTTATTTGTAATTTATTCCTTGTAATTGTGTGACTATTTAAAAAAGTGTTTGACTCTTACTTTGTCCTTTATTTATTGTTATTTATTGTTATTTATTTAATTCATGAATTTTTTAACGTTTCATGTTTCCGTTTTACGGTGTATATACATACATATAATCTTAAATATGAGATAACAGTGTTAATGCGAATTTACTCGTCTTATATAGTGATACAAAGTGTAATTGGATTTCGCTGACGGTACGATATACGCATACATCAAATAATACATGCAGTATATACACTATGTAATTCATAAAGCGCAGAATGAGTGCGTTGAATAGAAAAAAAAAAACGTAAGGAAAGGAGGAAACAAAAAGAAAACAAAAAAATAGCTTTTTAAATTTATTTAAGGACAATTTATTTTAAGAAGTAAAAAGTAATAAAATATGAATTTGTGAAAACAAAAACTTATTATTAAAACTTATTATATTATAAACTTATAAAAACAAACAGTAATACATATTATTAACTTAATCATATCTGTTATCTTTCCTGTTTGTTAATCTCAGTTCACTTTTTTTATAATATTATTATATAGTACAAATTGGTGTACATAGATACAGATGCTGTTACATGTTTACTTGAAATAAAGAAGTGAGTATTAAATCTTATACACTGAGAACAAATATCTCTTTCAAGTTCTATTATTAAAATATTAAAATTCATGACTAGCAGTATAAAAAAATCTATATGATGCCAGTTGAATCCTAAGATGCGTAAACAGAATTGAAAATCTTTTTAAAGCTCTGCAACATATTATATAATATTTATATTATATAAGTTTTGAAGAAAATAATCTTGTTCTGAATAATGTTGAAAATAATCTGAACTCTATTTCTGCAAGACCTTGCATATTGGAATTCTGCGAGAGTAATCTATTTTTAAATACAATTTTTGCAATTCTCTATCAAAGAGATTACGCATCCTAGGTTAACATCTTTAAAAAAGTGGAGTGAACGTGCAAAATCCTAAAATGTCATTATTCGAAAACTTAAAAAATGTGCCTGAAAAATTATGATCTCGAAATTACTGTAAGAGAAATAATGAGAAATATATTATATATTTTTCCGGTAATAATGAGAAATATATATATATATTTTTTTCCCGTGATTTTTGAAGATATGCAAAATCGAAAAATTTTACGATCTTAATATTAGTATATTTATTGGAAATCACAAACTATTTATTTCGTTTAATGTAAAGTACGCGCTGCTGCGCGTACTTTAGCGCTGAGACATTATAAGTCTCCAGTTAATCTCCAGATTATTAGTTTTTAACATTTTATGTCATTTTTTAAATTTTGTAGCGTCTTTCGGGATTTTGTACGTTCGTTTAGGAGAATAGAAAACGTATTGTTTTGTATTTGGAATGAAATTAATGTCAATATACTTATAATTGAAATATCACTATGTCACAGTAATCGCACACTACTTCTTTCTCTGAAACTTCATAATTTACCGACACGCATAGTTATGGCACAAGAGACATTTAAACAAGAGGTGTGTGCTTCTTCCGACACCGAACGGAATAAAAGTGCTTCCTCCAACACCGGACTAACCGGACGAATTGGGGAAAAGAAGGATCTGGCTTTTGCAAAAAATGCAAAAGAACTTTCAATACCTAATCGAATCCAGTAACTATCTGCTATATCACGCTCGCGTTCAATATACAGTCATGGAAACAAAATTTTTTGACAATATCATTGGAAACGAATTTATTAAAACTTAAGATACGAAGCGCCACTCCGGTCTGGATGTTAAGATGTCGAAATACTATATATTATATATTCATTTAAAATGAATAAATAAATTTGAGGATTAATATTCCCCATATGGTTGTCGGACTTTCAACGCAATACCATATCGGCACGCAATTATTATTTCTGAAATTAATTCATTTTACCGGAGTGGCGCTTCGTATCTTAAGTTTTTGACAATAATTTATTGCTATCTACTAGTAAAAACGAAATTTTTTTTATGATTAAAACTTTCAAAACAACGTATGACATTGCACACCTAGTATAAATAGAATCACATGATAGGACATTTTGTAAAAATTTACATTCTACGAGAGATTAAATTGATGGCTTGTACAAAGCGTATAATATTAAGTATAAATAAGTTTTGTACATATAATACACTATACCGCAGCAATCGTCCGATCAGTCCGGTGTCGGAAGAAGCAACTTTTATTTAAATGCGCAAATTAATTACTTTTTAATATACTCTTTGAGAAAATGCCCATGAATCAGAATCACATTTTTTAGAGGATTTTTCCAACACCATTAATATTACTGTTCATTTTGTAGTTCAAATTCGCGTTTATATGTACATATGTCTTATCATTATTCTTAGAATATAGTATATAGAGACAATGTCCTCGAATAAAATTCTTCTGAGATCCTTCTAAAATCCTCAGAATAAAAAACGAATGAGAAACTTAGATCCCATTTTTCTTCTTTTTTCAGAAGATGATGATCCATCTAGAGAAATATTATAACATTCGCGTAATATTTCTCAGTTTTGAAAATATTACTTGATTACGGAATATAATTTCTCATTTTGTTTTCATCTTGGAACATTGTTTCTAGATTGATTTCTGCATATGTAACATACATTGGAATATTCTAGGGGATTACTCCTTCCTTTTTTTTTTCCAAAAAAATCTTATAAATGGACCATTTAAACAAGGACCATTTAAACAATCTAAAATACTGTATTTGTTAAAAGAATTATTAGATATTTGAAACCTAAGATATGTATTATCCTACTCGCCTAATATATCATATGTAAGTTTTAAAAAATAATCCCCTAGTGTACCACATAGCATGCCAGATTAATTATTTTCAGAATAGGCGTTTTCTAAATGAATGAAGGAATATCATAATACAATAATTTTTATTAATAATAATAATAATAATAAGGAATAATATTATATAATAATCAAAGTCAATAATAAAGAAACAAGCGAAGTGCGCATTCGCACTTCGAGAACAACTATACACAAAATCTTTGACAAAGTCCTTTATGTATATAGAGGAAGCATACTAAAGATATCGTTATTAATAAAATATTCTTATTACATATGCTTCACTCATATTTTTACTTTGCCGACTTCGGAGACGAATAAAATTGCGAATAAAAGTAATATTCTCCTTTTACTCTCTCATACGTACGATTGTTTTACAAAACAATGATATGGCTAGATCGCAATTGGAATTTTTTCTTCCCAATTCGCGTTCGTATTTACGATTATTATTATTTTTTTTTTTTTATTAAAATCGAATATACAGTAACACCGTTTGTGATATGTGTCTGGAAAACATACGTCACTCTTCTAGAATCTTCGCGTCTCATAGCGAATTCGGTTGCGCACTAACTACTAGATATAGAAACGTAATATATATATGGACGCTCTAATTGACGAAATAAAAATGTCAAATGTACATTCTATCAAATAGTACGTTAAATTTTAGTAGTTCAATTTTACGTACTGCAAGTAAGTCTTTTCGTCAATTTGTGTACATTTCTATGTTTGCTTTAATATTTATATATAATGTTTATATATATATATATTTAAGTATTAATGCGCATTGACACATCCAACCAAATTTGCTATTGGATCAATTTTTCTCCTATTCTCTCTCTCTTTTTTTACATTACTCATCAGTCGTACATTTTTATTAAATTCTAGATTACAAGTCGATCGGCGGGCGATCTAGAAAACGGGCGAAAAAAAGTAAAAAAATAATACTTACACTTTTATACAATTATATCTTCCTAACTTTTAAAGATTAATATTCAGATAAAAAAATGATCTTCATCGACGGCACATAACGCGCTTAAGCATTATTATATTATAGTTAATGCTTAAAATGCAATATGTGGAAATACGTCGTTTCGCCCGCTTGCTACCTTTACAATATTATTATTATTATTATTATTATTATTATTATTACATTGGCTCTTATCTTTTCTTTTTTCTTCGTTAAATGACCTGAACTCTGAGGTAGACGGTTCCGGGTTGACATGTAGTAAAAATGGCAAGAGTGTGATATATTATTTACCATGTTATTACCGTGTTACCGTTATATATTAAACGTCGATATTATTATGTTTACCTTTCTTTAGTACAATAAACAGAATAGGGTTCGAAAGGATATCGCGCTTGCACTTATGACATGATGCACTATGCACATATTCTCTGATTCTGTTTTTACATATTTATACGTAGTTTTATACAGGATATTTCTAAAATTACATTATTTTGTAATGACGGCCAGCTTCGAACATTTGCTAATGCGTATGTCTGCAAAGTACAGTTGTATCTTAGAAATAAAGAATAAAGGAATGTTAAATACATTTCCTTACAAATTTTCAATTAATCACTATGTCTCTCTCTCTCTCTCTCTCTCTCTCTCTCTCTCTCTCTCTCTCTCTCTCTGCAAATATAATATTCTTTTAGAAATATCCTATATACAGTATTTATCGTAACAGTCACGCAATTTTTGAGGCACTTGCAAAATTATTAATATAAATATACTATTAATTAATTATTAATTATGTTACTATTATGTTAATATTAGATATTATTAATATTAACTACTACGATCAGATATTATTAATAATATCTGATCGCAAAAAAACCGGCTATTATAATACTACAGTATTAAGTATTAACGTTTAATAATATATATCAATATTATAAATTTGTTGAAAAAGCTTTAACAAACAATTTGGAATATGCAACGAAAATCATAAAATATTTATTTTTGGTTTTTTATTAAAAGAACTGAATGCCTAAAAAATGCGGACCGTAACGATAAATGCATGAATCTAATATGTAAGATATAAAATATGTACAATTATATTATATATAAACAGATTATGTTTTTTACGGAACAACTGCAAAACAAATTTAATTGTGAAAAACATAATCGACATTAAAGATAATTCTCTTTAAATAATAACGGTTGAATGAAGATTTAAATAATTAAAATTGCGTGAAATTATTGGCGCACCTAAAATCGGTTGCTCGATTCGACAACAACCGACGGAAACAATTATGCGTACCTGGGCGTTATTTCGTTATAATGATGTGAACGTTTACCCACAATTGCATGCTTGCGTGCGTCGAACGACGCGTGGCTCGAAGGGAAATTCGCTCTAAAGGGTCGGGAGCTTCGGTGATTAGCTCGTTTTGCCAGTAATTAATCAGGGATCGATTAATCAGTGATGTCAATATGCGGATTTAGCTGCGAAAATATCTAATTGACAAATTTCAATATAGAGGATATACAAACATGTTGATAACAATCACTAATAAATAATTAATGTCTCAGGATATTTAGTATAAAAAAATAATTAATAAAATAAAAATATCGAAATACTGTTTATTTCTCAGGTCAAGAGAATACATGTTACTAATGTTAAAACATTAGTTGATTGTACTAACAAATAGAATGAAAATTCATTGATATAATTGAATATAACATAAAAATTCAAAGAAAAATATAGATGGGATGTAAGTGCAATTTAAATAATTTAAATAATTCAAATAATATAGCATAGAATAGCTCAAATAATATAAAAACAAAATTATGTAGTTCATTTACATAATTTTACATAATTTTGTTTTTAATTAATTTAAATTTAATATGTAACTTATTATATTTTATAATTTATATATAAAATCATAAAGTCACATTAACAAGATTTTTTACGAAGATAACATAAAAATGGGA